GAAAGGAAAGAGGAGGTGTGCCCTGTGAGCTCAGGCACCCTCACCAGTTTGCCCCTTCAAATACTTTCAGTGTAGAAGCTCAAGTGGGCTTAACATGGGCAAGGTCTCCTCAGTTCATTCTCATCTCACTTTATTCCTGTCTTCTGTCCTTCCCATTCCCCTTCCCGCAAATTCAGAATAGAAACCTCCTCACCAGCCCAGCTCACGCACCCAGGGATCAGTGAGAAGCCAAGCTAAAAGCAAAGCTAAATAAAAATGATGAAGTAATTTCCCTGAAGCGCCATCCTATTCTGCTTCCCTTCAGTGCTAAATGCACTCACACGTAACACAGAACAGGGCCTAGTATGTTGTTCATGATGATAGAGTTTCCACATGGAGCATCCGCTATGTGCCAGGAACTCTACTGTAGCTTCCACATATATTATCTCACCTTCCCAACCCTGCCAGGTAGATATTGTCCCCATAGAAAGTCCAGGGAAGCGCACTCCAAAGTTAAATAACTTGATTACCTAACTAACTAGGCTTCAAACCCATGTTTTTGTGATGAAGAAAACCTTCTTACCTTTCCTTCCTCATCTTTACCTTATCTGTTACTCCTGTCTTATGTGTTAGGGTCTCAGGAGAAAGCAGAGAGCACATTGGATAATTGAGGCAAGTTTAATAAAGAGAGTGTGTAGAAGGTGTGGCCAGGATTAGGACAGAACAACAAGTGATGATGGACCACCGTAGGGCTGAGTAATAGCAATTCTGTTACCTAGGCTGAAAAGAAGGAGCAGTTACCAGAAACTCAAGAGCCATCCATTAAGAGCTGTGGCCCTTGGTAGTAGAATACAGCAGCCTGCAGGGGCTCCATAGGAGGAAGCAGAGGAACACCTTCACTCTCCTACTCTTGATCTACTGTCCTGTCTTTTACTGGCCCCGCCCAAACAAAAGCCAAAGGATAAAAACATCTGTTGGTGCATTGCTGATAGATCAGCCTGAGGAAGCATGGGTCAGAAAGAAACCAGGAGGGGCCAATAGAAAATGTCCAGCAGCAGTTCTCTGCTGCTTTCAACCTAAGTGATCTTGCCAGGACATTCAGAGGATGAATTGGAAGGGACACAATAATACGGACATCAGAGAGCTATTTCTGGTACAGAGGATTTGTAGGCTATAGAAAGGAGACTTGAGGAGAAGTACATTAGACTCCAGGGCTCTTCATGTGTTTCTGGGTCACTGGCGAAATCAGCATTTGAGGTAAATGAGCAGAGGTCAGGAGAATTCAAGCAGAGTGACTCATGTGTTTTGCTTCCTCCCAACCCAGGAGCACTTAGACTCCCCTGTAGCCACGTCTACTTTCAGGCAGCAGTGCTTTCTTTCCTTCCTATGACCATGTCCCGTTCCCAAGATCCTTACCAACCAGGACAGGAACCAGGACAGAAACTAGGGAATGGCTCCATAAAGGTGATATCAGGATCAGGAAGAGAAACAATCTTGACTATTTTCAAAAGATCCCCAGCAAGGAGCCAGAGAGGGCTGTAAGGGAGCAGAAGATGAATGTGATTTTTAAATGAGACTGAAACGAGGAAAGATGCAATAAGAACAGGCATGAGAACCACAGGAGAGGAGGGAGAGCTGAGTTCACTAGGGCATGGTGACTGGAAGCCAGAATCAGGAGTGATCCTTGATTCAGCCTTGAGAAACAGGTTATAACTGAAGAAAATTAAGATTATGAGTTAAACAAAAATAGGAGGGAAGATATGTAGGATGGGGAAAAGGATAAGAGTAGAAGCTAGTTGGAATAGTCACAATAAAATTTATGTGGAACAGTTTTCAAGTCCTAACCCCTGTTCCCCATCCTCATTCTCTGATCTCGAGAATAGACAGGAGCCACCACGTGGTATCAGGCCTGCACTATGTAACTACTGTGTAGATTCAGGAAGACATGGGAGACTCAGGAAGGGAACCGGGAACTGGGGAAAGTTAGGAGGAACCATGACAACCACAGGGGGGCAGTGTCCCCATGGGCTCGCCTGAAATGTGTAGGACCAACAAAGTAGAGAGGTCAACCAAGGACAGCACACCCCTCTCCCTTGCACCCAGCAGAGCGCCTCTCTCCCTCTACCTAACTTGGGCTTCTTATGCAGGGACGTCTGTAGGCAAGAGACACACATGGTCATCACCCATTTCACATACCACTCCTATCACAGGTACATATACACACACTCACATTTTACACAGAAATGAGATTTTTTTCCCTCTTTCAGGCCTGCTAGCCCTGGCCAGATAGCTCAGTTGGTTAGAGCATTGTCCCAATACACCTAGGTTGCAGGTTTGATCCACAGTCAGAGCACATATAAGAATCCACTAATGCCCAGCCGGTGTGGCTCAGTGTTTGAGCATCGAGAGGTCACAGTTTGATTCCTGGTTAGGGCACATGCCAGGGTTGTGGGCTCATCCCCACTTTGGGGGCATGCAGAAAGCAGCTTATTGATGATGTTCCTCATTGAGGTTTCTCTCTCTCTATCCCTCTGAAAATCAATAAAAACATTTTATAAATCAACCAACGAATGCATAAAAAAATGGAACAACAAATCGGTTTCCTCTCTCAAAAATAAATTTTTTAAAAACAAGATGAAAATCTATTTTTTTATTTTAAAAAAAGAGTACCCTGCTAACATAACAGTGTTTGCTGTGCAGTTGAATGTGCTAAGAAGTGATGAAATGCTCAAGCATCAAGAGCATGTTCCATGCCCCACTTCCACGTCAGTGTGTCAGCGCTAGACTTCAAGCTGCATTAGTCATCAGGTCTGTTTCACTGAGGAAAGTGTATAATTGCCCATGGGGTTTCTATAAAGTAATCTGGCAAATGACCTTGTACTATTCCATCCGCAGTACTCTGGACAATAATACTATAAAGTGCGTCTCGTTTTTACTTCTTGTGCCCCAAGAGCCCAAGGATCACCTGCAACAGCCACAAAATACCTGAAGTTCTCTTGATGATTATTGTTCATAATTGTTGAGAAGATTCTCAAAGAACCACAGACATAGCCTAATTAACTGCCCAAACTTGGATTTATGTGGAGGAGGAATTCCTGAGAGGAAATCCTGGTTGCTGTGACTCACCTGAAAAAAATCTTAAGATTGAAATCAACTGAGCAACCTCCATGGGGTGTGGTCTGCTGATCGTATTGAATCGCCTCAAATGGAATCTAGGTGACTCCACAGAGATCCTGCAGGAAGGTGGTCACAAGATGTCCTTGAGTACTTCAGTTGCCTTTCTGCACTTCCTTACGATTATGATGTTGGTGACATCTCTGAAATCCCATGGCATTTCTCAATAACTGATAAGGAAGTCTTCTAAGATCTAAGTAGCCCCTCCCGAAATGTGAAGATATTATCAATATCAAGGACAATACCATTGTCCATTCCATTGAATAAGGGCCGGTGACTGTGAAGTCACATTTTGTGAAGTGTCTATGCTATGCAAGCCCCCTCCCATGGTTTGTGTCACTTGGAAAAGAGAGTGTGAGAGTTGGGCAGGGATGGGGTAGGAAAGGGGCATGATGCAGGCATACTGAGACAGAATAATAATGGTGCTCAGATTCCTCTACAGTTTATTGTTACAGCAGA